CTAAACCCCTAAACCCAAACCCCTATTCCTTCGATGTGCTTTGCATGTTCGGGCTTAGGTCGTAAGATAATTTTTGTCTGCCTTTCGGGACGGCTCGGAGGTTCAGGGTTTCGAGAGTCTTCCGGGTTTTGGGCTCAGGATTTTGGGTTTAGGGTTTAGAGTTTAGGGTTTTGGGTTTACAGTTTAGGGCTTAGGGCACAGGGTTTACAATTTTACAGTTTAGGGCTTAGGGCACAGGGTTTAGGGTTTACATTTTAGGGCTTAGGGCACAGGGTTTGGGGCTTAGGGTTTAGGGCTTCGAGTTTCGGGTCAAGGGTTTCTGCACTTGCCACTGCGCCACAGGATGTTGATTGGCGCCAACACACGCCAACCTCGAACTTTGTTCGCACCCAGGTGCCTGCCTGAAAAATGTCTTTGTGCGTGTTTCTTACCTACAGTCTCCATGGTAGTTCCTTTTTTGGTTTAACGATTCACTTATTTTAGGGTCCTATAAGGTATCCCCGCAACAGGAGCTACAATGGAGACTATAGGTAGTGACATTGATTATTGTAGCAGACGTGGTCTGGACGAGTTTCTCGCGCTTAGGGGGGGTCCTTGTTATAAGTACAGTATAGTACACCCCAGAACCCTGTTCTTATTGTTAAGGCCCCTACATGTTTCGGGTTTAGGGTTGAAGCCTCAAACCCCGACACGCTAAACCTGAGACTTGTTCGAACCCGGGCTCAAGAGCCCTAAACCCTAAACCCTAAACCCTAAGCCCGAAACTGTCAGGTTCCAGACTACAGGTTCGAGACTCTGGGTTTAGGGGTTTAGGGGTTTAGGGGTTTAGGCTTTGTGGCTTTTTGGGGGTTTAGGGGTTTAGGGGTTTAGGGTTTAGGGTTTGAAGTTCAAACCCAAACTTTAAGGGCTTCGGGTTTAGGGATGTTTAGGGCGTGCTTCTCCAAGTCGGCTTTCGGACTTCATGGCTTCAACCCGTGGAAGCAGCAAGAGAACCCTGCAGGCCCGAAGCCCTAGGTTTAGGGTTAAGGGTTTAGATTTTTTTGACCTTTCGATCGGACCCACCTAGAGTCTCCGTTGTATCTAACAAGCTAGATATTTTGAAGGGCTGAACCCTAAAACCTATAAGAGATGAGGGATTAGGGTTAAGGGTTTAGGGACCCTAAACCCTAAACCCTAAACCCTATAAGGGATTAGGGATTAGGGTTCAGGGTTTAGGGTTTGGGGACGGGAACCAATAGGCAGTTGGAGTCCGCGCATCTGGAGTGCAGGTTCGAAGAAGCCCTCGACTCTTAGCCCAAACTCCCTTAAGCTCACAACTCTTGCCCCCTAAAACCCTACCTGAACCCTGCCTCTTTTCGGCATCCTTATAAATCCTGAAGGTAGGTTATTTGAGGTCTTACCTGTACTATTTGGGTGGTTCCTTATCATAATTATAGTATCATCTACCCCTTAGTAAGGCCCCTCCCTAAACCATAAACCCTAAACCCTAAACCCTAAACCCTAAACCCAATAAGGCCCCCTACATTAAGCTCACGGCTCCTGCTGAAGGGAAGCTGCGGCTCTTGCTGGGCTGTTGCCTCGGCCAATGCCCTGGAGATGCACGCAGAGCTGAAGCTAGGTCCGAATGGTTTAGGGCTCAGGGTTCAGGGTTTAGGGTTCAGGGTTTAGGGTTTAGGGTTTAGGGTTCAGGGTTTAGGGTTCAGGGTTCAGGGTTTAGGGTTTAGGGTTCAGGGTTTAGGGTTTAGATCGGAA